TGTAGCCACGAATTTTAATGGGACTCACCTGCAACAAAAAAAGACTGGTGAACATGCATCCCCATGAATCTGATCTCCAGAGGGTCCCCGACAAGATTCCTACCCAAACCAATGTATATATAATATGTATAAGAGAATCTATATGCATGGATGTATGTTTTCTGTGGAATCCAGATTTCCCCTGGGCCCGACCAAGAATCCCCGTCGAGTTTTTGCTTTGGTAGGTGCGGAGAATGATCGGGACGGAGCTCTGAGCGCGGCTACTGCGGCTCGGGCGAAGTCGTCATTGCCATTGGACTTTGGGGTAAAGATGGCACCGGAAAGTATCACCTGTTCGATGGTTTTGAACATTGCTTTCAAAAATTGTTGGTCTAATTTAGAGGGAGGGTCCTATGGCGATGTTTACAGAAACAAGCAGTCCTGTTCAAGAACAGCAAAAGGGACAGCCACCATTTTTGGTTGACCAACAACGGCTCTCCCTCTCAAAGAGGGTTTCTGCCCTTTTCGGGGTTCCTCTATTTTCTGAAACACAAGGGGGTATGCTCGACTCCTGCTCGACCTTTTCTTATGAAGATTCTTGCCAGGCTCGGTGCATTTATTCTTTCCTCCAGCTCAAGACTTCGGGATCGTGCCTTCCCAGGAAACTATCCTGGGCATGAGCAACGACGTCATCTCCGAGCGCTGCCGCTCTTGCGTGGCCGACGTGGTGAGCAAGGAGCCCGCGCGACACGAGCGTGAGTCAAGGTGAATGTGCTGACTACTAAACTAAGGGACTTGCAAACGGAGACCACGGCGCATGTGTTGGCCCCGTGAACGAAACCGAGGAGAAGAGCTTCACTAGTTTTGTTGGTCTGCCTTGAACATGTGTCGCAGTTCTACATATTTGCTTGGTCAGCTTGCAAGCTGCGTGCAATGCACCTCCAGTCACATGGAGAAGAGGCACCCAGGAGGGGCAAGCTCAACAAACTTGCGGGGACCCCACAGACAGGTTGGCTTTCTTTTGGTTTCCCCAACAACGGGTGTGTGCACCATTTAGCTTTTCTTTCAAAGTTTGTTTGGGTCTGCTTGAGAACTGAAGCCATTTGTGAGATGCCCTGCTGGTGGGAAACTGGGTATGGGATTTCACTTGTGATCCCTTTGTGGAAGCCCCGAACTTTCTACCTTTGACCATGCCCTGCATCAGCTTCCCAAAATCCGATTTGGTGGGACACTGGGTCGGGAATTTCACTTGTGATACCCTTGACCAAGTGGTCAGGATGGAAATCGTCTTCACAGGACTTCGGGGCCCTTTCCTGAAGCCTTGGCACAGGGCCAGTTCGAGTTCATCGACAAGGAGACCTACGGGGAGTACATCCAGGCATTCCGCCAGCGCTTGCGTTGAAGTACGGATTCGGTCAACGAGTCCGGATTTGCCTATGGTACATTTGGGACACACGTGGAGGACGAGCTCGAAATTTGCCGCAAAAACCGGGGACTCACTCTTTTTCCACATGTTGTGTTTGGAAAACACGTAATGTTGGCCGTGGCTCGTATCAGGGATGGTAGTTTTTTTTTTTTACTGTCATCTACTCACCATGCCAGCACCATGCTACCGAACATGGGTTGCATGTCACTGGGCACACAATCAACATTGACAGTGGCGTACATGTTTCTGAACCTGACATGAGAGGGTGAAACAGGTTGCACGCCTGAGCTTAGAACGGCGGTTTGTCGCGCCGGTATGCAGCCCTTGAGAAATGATTGTCCAGAGGGTTGATGTTTCGCCTTTCAGGGTGTGACCTTTGCATTTCAGGGTGCCTCCCAACTCAAGCGGCTTCCCGGGTCCGAGCCAGAGAGAGCATGCATTCTCAAGACGCTGAGGTCCTGAAGCGCGCGAACCAAGAGATCTTCATGGATCAGAAGAGAATACTGGCCAAGATCAAGGACCCCTTTCCGTCCGTAGTTTGACTTGTTTGACTGTTTCTGGGGGTTGCTTCCCTTTACACCCACCACTTAGGGGGTGACTTTGATCATGGTACAATAATGAGGCCAGGTGTTTCAGTCTCAAAATTAGGGGACCCCAAGAAATGGTTGGTTTGCTGTGGATTCTCTGTAAAACCAGCCAAAATTGGGCTCCCCCGAAAAAGACACATCCGTGGGTATCCCTTCCTGGATGGCTGGACTGACGACGTGTCCGACGACGTGTCCCAAGTGTTTGTTGTCATTTTCGAGTTGTCTGACCTGTCAGGAAGAGGGGGGACACGCCCAGGGGTCAATGCGGCTCCCCTGTTTGAGGCTCTACTAACCGACACTGTGCCGTATGAGAATGTGTCACAATTCCGCCAATCCCATGTAAGATGTGTTGAAAGCATGTTGAAAGACATGAAGATGGGCGTGCTGATGAGTCCAAAGCATTTATTTGAAATGCATCCTTTTTCCCACGCACCCATGAATCGTCGGCGCTCAAATCCGAGCTGCACATCTCGACCGGGGGTCGATTAGAACCCCCCCCCCCCCGCTCTCACGCGGACCCCGGCCTCCATCCCGCGTGTTTTCTGGGCATCTTCCATGTTAGTCTGTTCTGAGCTGAGCTGGGCATGAATTTGATTTGATCACATCATTCTGTTTAATTAAACACATATTTTACTAGGCCTCACCAGGAACATCTTTGTTCGGCACCTCTCCGCGGCCGCGGGCCAGAAAAAAGCGCAGGAGATCAAGAAGGCCACCAAGGAGGCCGCTCGGACGGAGGACTCGCTCCGTGCGCGGATGAGACTGGAGCCCCTTGAGCCCCGGGTCGCTTCCTTTCTTGATTCTGTTTGGGGTTGGATCTTCAGACTTTAAACTTTTTGGGAAATCAAGGGGCTTTCCATGAAACCCACAAAAGGTTGAAAACTGTTTGCAGAGGGGTCAACAGCAGGCAAGCTTTCAGCTTCCTTCTAAGACCAATCCCCCAACCAAAGAGTGGCCTTTGCTCCCATGGCCACTTGACCTGGAAGGAACTGAGGGTTGAACGGCCTGGCTGGTTGCCCAGGTGCAGTGGAGGGGTGGTAGATTGACAGAACTGATTGAAGAGCTGAGAATCTTGACAGAGCTTCCAGAATGTCCGGAGAGCTTGTTTGCAACCTTGACAATGCCTTGCTTCATGAAGCTCAGTGATTTTCCACATTTGAGTCTTCACACCTCGTGTTTTGCGGGGATTTTCCTTCAACGGAGGGGGACTTCAAGAGCCTTGAGTTCTATCGGTGTAGGTTTTTGAAGGATACTCGTGTTTGGTTGGTTTGAAGGGCAAACAAAGCAACCAAGCTCCCTTTTATTCTGAGGGGGGGTGGGGGGGTGGGGCGGGCATATTGCGCAGATGTCAACCTTTTCTCGCAGGAGCCTGATGAGAAGGGCCAAGAGGGAGCCGAGGGCGGCGCGTAGCGGCAGCACATAGCGCGTAGTGCCGAATTGGAGCCATGCATGCATCGAGCGAAACAAAACCGTTGCAGGTGGAGTTTTTGGAGCGAGGCTGTTTGTTGCTGCCTCGGCTTGCGACGGCACCTGGGTTGGCCACAATCACTAGGGCACAGTTGTGGCTGCTCTTTTGATGCTTTACCTGTTGTTGGGCAGACCCCAACTAGGTCTCGATGATCAGTTCTCATATCCGAATGCTCACCCAGCCATCGTACTTAGCTTACCTGCAGTCATGGTTCCCCATGGGTTCCATCCCGCGAGGCTTAGGAGATGGATGGCAAATGCCGCCACTTTGCCCCTTTGGCATTTGACCAGTTGCCCTCGAATCAGCCACCGGACCAGCCTTGCGCCTTTAGAACGTGCCTGTTTCGGTTCCCCGCGAATTGGCTCCTGGCGCCATCGACTCTATTCTGACTGAGTTGAGGTGCCCCACCGAGTTTTGAGCGTTTTTAGGTGTTTTTTTTTTTTTGTGTGTGTGTGTGTGCTCAGGAGATGCGGTGCGAGTATCAGGTGATTGCCTGGTGGTCACTTGGGGTTGAGCTGGCGGGCTCTCAAGGTTTTGGATCGCAAGCTCAAGCCGCAGCTGTCAAGTGTTGAGCGACCTGGGATGTGAGACCATTTATATTGGAGAGTCAGATGGTCAGCTTCCCTCTAATTGGCGATTTGGATTGGTGGTTTGGTGGTTGGGAAGTGGCGTCCCATCTACCCGCTACAAAAAAATCAGCAGTTCAATTCCCAAACCAATCCAAACCACCAATTCAGGGTATCCTGAAATAGGAAAGGGTCAAGGTTGCAGGGATCCACTTAAACGAAACCAGCTGGATGCTTCACATTCCATGGCTCTCGCCGGCTTGGGGGGATGCCACTGTTACATGTATGCCTGCAACCTGCCAGGGACCCTTTTCTGGCTGGGGTCTCCAAAACAATTTATTAATTGGGGTGAAATAAACATTTGGGCCAAGTTCCATTTCAGTTTTGTGTCCCCTCTATCCTTTCGAGATTTCTTGCTCTGTTATTTTCAACACATACGGTCATACGGTTCTCTGATGCTGGCTGGCGACCCTCTCTACTGCACCGGTTCAGCAACATGTCCATGTTTCGGCGCTGCAAAGATCGATGGCAACCCGTGGGTCTTGGATGCAATTTCACGTGCTTGACTGAAGATGTGTTCATTCCCCTGTACCAACATGCGGTGTTTAGTATAAGGGCCAACTAGTCAGCATGGGGCAGTGGGATACTTACTTCGAAACCAACAGTAGTCCTGAATTATTGGAGTAAACCATTAGTAGTTCACTCCCCCCCCCCCGCCCCTCATATTAGGCTGGAGAAAGTTGTCACGCTATGTGAATAAGAATCGAGTAGCACATCCCAATTCCAAAATTTGGCCCACTCCTCCTGCGAAATCTCCAACTATATACTAATTGTAGCTATTGGTTGGGTATGCCAGCTGATTGTTTCTCACAAAAGCACAAAACACAACTTTTTTGCCGGGAGTCTAGGTCTGGCCCAGATTCGACCCCTTCTGGATCCTTGGTGCCTTTTTTCATGCTCTGCTCAGCGGCGAGGACGGCGATGGGCTATGGAACCGAGCAGAAATCCAGGCCATGGTTGTGGAAAGGACACTTTAGCTCACTTCCCGACTTCCTGGACTGTAGACGTTTCGGGAACATAATTTTGGTGGCAAACCGAAAGTTTGTTTTGGCCCATCCACTCAGAAAGTGAGCCCAGCACGAATTTCTATGCCAGCGCATTGGACATGCCCCATCGGAGGGCCCTGAATTCAGCGGGTCCCACTGGCAAGGCGGGGTTTCTCGCCCGAAGGCCTACGCCAAGGGAGAGTTCAACTTCGAGCTCCCGGCTGAGAATCTGGCGCCGAGCCCAGAGGGCAACGTGTAGGGCTCGGTTCGGTCCAGCTCTACGAAGGTGAGTCCGCCAGTTTGAACGACGACTCCCTTGGGGAGAACACGGAGCGATGGAAAGGATCATGTACGGGTCAAAAATTAAGCCACTAGAATACCGCATATTCCAGTCCACGTTTCCATTTACCAGGGCTCCATTTTGGCGACATAGTTTTGACCCACAACCATGTGGTTTCATGGGCAGCTTTGGGTTTAAGGGCAACACCTTCGCTAAGCCAAGGGGAAACCGGCGACTTTCATGGGGCCGCGACGGCCTTTGGTGCCGTTGCCGCCGTCCCTTTCATTGCCGTCTTAATGGGGTTGTCGTTTTTGGGCACCGGTTCCCCGGTTGAGATTTGCAAAAGGAAGGCATTTGTGTCCTTTGGGCTGCTCGCAGACGAATCCTTCATCCCTTCGCGTTTGGTCCCCTTTGTTCCCAATGGAGGAGTGGCAAGCCCTCAGACTGCAAGAGCCCATGGCTTGGCCCCTCCAATCCGAACCATCCAAGCCACGGTGAACAAATCGGAGGGGGAATCGCTTGGGCTCCCCCGGCAAAAGGTCCGAATCCCGATTCGGAGCAGCACGGAATGTGTTTGACCGACCCTCGCATCTCGTTTCACCCTCTTCGTATTTCCGCTGCAACGTTTCTCAGCCGTATCTCTGGGGGTTGGACACTCTTGGACCCAAACATCCCCTTACGACAAGGGGCTCCAACAGTGTCCAACCTCAGAGACATACATCTAAGTTGGCCCCCGGTGGCCAGGACGGTCCGCCTATACCGCTTCCCCGGTCTAAAAGGGTTGCTTGGGTTCTTTTTGGCAACGCCAAGTGGCACAAGCCACGAGACATTTCGCGCCCAGCGGCGGTGAGGAGCGGATCATGCGGCAAGTCTGCAGAGGAGAAGGCGCGCCATGCGCGCCATGCGCGCGAGGTCGGATTTGCCGAGGGAGCCCTCCAAACGGGCGGTTTCCTTGTGGGTTAGGGAGGTTTGGGCAAGTGAGGAAATTCATGCTCGTCTATTGATCGTTTGGGGAGGACACGGGGCATACCCGAATTCCCCACAAACTGAAAGGGACAACTCAATTTTGCAATGCACGGACATTGGGTCATAGATGATCAGGAATTTTAAGTATTCTAAGTTTGGTAGCAACCGATTGTTGGTGTTTTTGTTTTTTGAAGCCCATGAATGCGTCCCAGCGTGGTTGCTGGCATCTGGATGGGGGTGGGTGTCCCCAAATCACTCAGCGGCTTGGTTTTCGGAGCTCGTTTATCCCTTGAGAGGACTTACGCTCTGCGCGGAGTATGTTAGCCAAGTCGCACCACTGGCAACACGTCCGCCCCTGTTTACTGCTTTTGACGCAGAACACTGGTCGCTCACGGCACAAGCGAGCCTTCGGTGATCAAACCTCCGTTTTGGACCGGTATCCCAGGCATGCCAACTTGAGTTCACAATGTTGCTTTGGGGCTGCTGAGCCAATGTGTCCACACCGAAACGCGGCTTCACTCATATGTTGTTTGAGATCAGTGGGGGAATCTGTGAAGGGGACATCGTTAGGGGGAGATGTCACCAATCTCGCGATTCTGAGGCACTAGGGGATCGCATGAAGGAAGCCATGACCACCCTCAGGATTGTCTGGCCATGGTTCTGGGAAGTTTGGCTGTAGCACATGTTTCATGATACCAAGGGAAGCCGCGGTCAACGTGAAAAGCCTTCAGATGAAAAGGTAGCCACAGCTGCTTTGGGCGATGTTCAACCATTGGTATGTGTCAAAATGGGGCTTGGACCCCCCCCCCCCCCCCGAAGTGTCTGGACTTTAGTCACTGCGTGGGACCATAATACAAAACAGTTCGGACTTGTTTTGTGCCATCCACTCAGGAAGTGAGACCAGTATTGGAGATGAGTAGTGTTTTAACAACCTATTTGTAGGTTCTCCACAATAGAGAGGCCTATCTGGCTGGCTTGCCCAACCCTGGCGGTGTCCTCCTGCTTCTTGCTTTCCCTGAAACAGCCCACCCCAAAAAGGGGTGCCAGTGAGTTGATCTTGCTGGTTCTCAGTAAGGAATTTCGGGAATGACCCCGAACGATGCGTAATCACCCAAAACCCAGAACCAGGAAGATCATGGGAGGGCAACCAACAAAGGGATCCTCCCTCCTTGCCACATGTCCAAACCCTCGAAATACCAAGCCCTCAAGGTTCATTCCCCAGACCCTTCCAAAAACAGAATCCCAAACCCTTCCAAAAAAAACCAAATCCTTCCAAGAAAAACTCCGCCCAACGCTCCCCTCTCTCTGACCGAGAGCTTCGCAAGGCGCCAGCATGGAAGCGCTGCAGTTGCTGAAGGTCTCGGTGTGCATCGCTCGCGATGAGGCGACCCGCATGGGTTTGACCACCCCCCCGGGTATCCGGGAATTTTGTGGACACTGAAGGGGTCTATTTTGCAACCCTCCTTCCTTTAGGGTTCTTGGCTGCAAAAGAATTAGCCTCTAGGTGTCCATGGCACGACCCAAAAAGGGAGAGATGGTGTTTCCTTTAGATACTACTGGGGATGCCCACTTGGAAGCGGTTCGTTGAAAGCCGGGCAGGCGGCAACTACCCAACAACCGGAACGAATGAAGCTGTAAAATCAGGAGCCCAGTTGTTAAGTGGCACCCTCCAAATCCCTTTTTGTCTGGGCACCCCACTCAACTGGTCCTGGCTCCAACACGGGTAACCGGGGATACACATTTGACCCGGGTGTGTCTTGTTTGAGGCTGCCCGTTTTTGTTGCAGTTGTAAAGGAGCATCAAAAGCAATGTGCACAATTGTTTGGGGGTTCCCGAAGAAAGCCACACCCAACAGCACCCCGTCTGGGGAAGCAGCGGGAAACAGACGCCTCTGCCCGAGGTTCTCGAGACACGGGTGCCAGCAGCTGCACCCCGAAACCGCTGGAAAAGAAGCTAGATACCCCAGCAGTGCCCTTTTACCTTTTTGTTGGGAGGTGTCCCCTACTAAAATAGACTACAGCAAAAAAGTTGGCACCCTTATTCTAACCTCTGGAGGACCTGGAGAAGGCATCGGTCGCATCCGGAAACCGGTCGCCAAAAGCCAGGAGCGGGGCAAGGCGAAGCGCGCCGTACGCCTGGAGAAGGAGCGAGAAGAGCCCGGAGCCGAGAAGGAGCGAGCGATCCGAGTTCAAGCCTCCCTGGCTGTGTCGCTGGTCTTGTTGGCACCCCGTGTTGGAGGCGGTTGACAGAAAAAAGCCACAGGAAAGCCATATTCTGATTACCCAACTAGACTCTCTTCCAAGATGTGGTCACTTTTTGGAGTAGACTAAACAGCTGGTTATGGATCAGAATCCGCAAAACGAGACATATTTTTAGTGCACCCCAGATTTGGGCCAAGAAAAGGACTGAGCCACGGTTTCCTTTAGTCTCCCTTGGCCACTTGGAAGCCCGTTGACTCCGCCAAAGCATGCTAGGACGCTGATCGGTTTCCTGTGGTTTCCCCAAAAAACTCAGGTGTCTGAGGGTTGAACAGGAGGAGCTTTTGGTTTAACAAGTCCTCTTGCCAGGATATGTGTGGCCGCGCTCAAGAACGGACCTTTTCAATTAAGCGTCAACCACATCGCGGTGTTGTTCATATAGGATATTCCCCTTCTAGATGCCCCTGGGGCACACAGCCCAAGTACATCTTTTCTTGCCGCTTACATATACCCCAAACATAGGTGGAAATTCTGGTTCAGCAGGCATGTATAGTGTGATATCGATATTTACACAACAATGTATATATATATATATATATATACAGCGATTTTAATGCAACCTTTTCCGGCTCCATCTTAAAGTGTTCAGTGTTCCCCATTGCTTTCAGCGGGTTTCCTTTCCAGGTGTCGACCATTCTGATTTCAGGAAGGTGCCGAACATCAACAAACAAGGGCTCCAAGGCTACTAAGGCCACCAAGGTGGTGATGTCAAACAAAGGAATGCAAACATCTCAACTGGCTGTTGCTTTTGGCACGGGTCGTTTTAATGGCCATCTTGACACCCAGGGAATTGGGACCTTTGAAAAAACAAAAAACGGAACCCAGGCCCCGGTCATCTCGCCGAAGCCAATGACCGCGCACCGAGGCGCGAGGCGCGGGAGCGCCGGGAGGCCGAGATCCGGGCGAGGCACTCGGAGTTCTCCAGCGAGTGCCAGGCGATGGCGACGGGACCGAGACCGATGTCCAGGTTGGTTCCCTGAAAATGAAGGGGGGGATGCTGTTTTTCCAACCTCTAGTTCTTTTTTCTTTGGGGCTCCATTTATGAAAATTCTCCGAGCGTGTTTTTGGGGGGGCTTCCCTTGAACAGCAACTGACCAAAAGGGTGTGGCCAGGGGTCCGAGAATCGGGACTGAGCCCCAGAAATGGATCGTTCCTTCTTGGACTTTTTTTTAAACCAACCAGAAAAGCGTCACCTCTTGGGCCGTTTTTTTTTTTTTTAATGCAAAACAACTGCCTTTTTCGGGGATTCTATATGGCGATATGCGATGCCTGTTTCTGGCGGTGGGGGGAAATTGCGGCAGGTCCTCCCATTTTTGTTACCTGGTTCAGTCATCCACCTTAAAGAGCATTGCCTTTATTTTCACATGGTGTAATTTCTGGCCATCCGTTGTTCTTTGTGTTCGTGACAGCAAGAAGGGTGTAGGGGTCGGCTGGTTTCCTGCTGGGAAAGACGGCCAAAGCGCCCAAATCAAGGAGCTTCGCACTGGGATTGATCAAATCGTTTTCTACCAGACTGGTCAACTGAAAACTCTTCACCCATCGTCTCTTCATAAGCCACCCATTCCCCAAATTCTTTTATGAGAGGACAAATGGGAGGGCTGGCGGAAACGTGGGTATTTGTTTTTAATTTGGAATGGCCCCTATGGTGGTGGACATGAAACAATGTGATTTATGCCCACCAACTGAGAGGGTTCCCTATCAACTTGCTCCAGGCGAATCGAGGGGAAAAATCCCACACACACACGTCTTGGTTTCATCTCAGCCTCTGGTCCACCGGACCTTCTGACCAAGAAAACCAACATGCAGATATGGTTTTGGAAGATTGGGTGGTCCACTTTCTGTGATATGCCCCTTGGAACTCAAAGCAACCAAGTGATGGGAGGAGTGGAGTCGACAACCCGGCATTGCCCGACTTGACCACCCGTTTTGCCAATTTGTCCGGCCTTTTGGGGTTTCCCTCATTTTCTTTTTCAGCCACCAGGTTCGCTAGCTTTTGCAGCGGGCAGCTGGCCCAGTTCTTAAGTTTGGCTTTCGCTTGTTGCAAAGCCGGACCCCACGCCGTTCTCTTCATCTCTGGGGCCGTGATCTCCTTACAAAGCTCGCCAAGCGAAACCGTCTGGCCAAGCTTCTCAATTTTGCGAGCAAAGCAGCCATACAAGCAACCACAAGGCCGTGGCCAAGTGCGGTCCACGTTCCCTCACTTGCAATATCGAGTCGGCATGTTTGGGTTGGTTTGGGAAGCCAAACGAAACCCAAGTTTCGATGTTCCCGCATTGGGGTGTGTCTTTTTGAGGGTACCTCTTTTTGGTTGGTGTCAAAGGAAGCGGAGATGGTGTTTTTTGTTTTCCTAGCCCTGGTCCCCCCTTGGTTGGTTGGTTGGTTGGTTGGTTGGTTGGTTGGTTGGTTGGTTGGTTGGTTGGTTGGTTGGTTGGTTGGTTGGTTGGTTGGTTGGTTGGTTGGTTGGTTGAGCTGGCTGGCTGGCTGGCTGGCCGGCTGGCTGGCTGGCTGGCTGGCCGCATCCCCGTCATCGCTAACATCACTTGGACCTGGGGTTGCTATTGGCTCTGATGGGGTGGCAGTTGGGAGTTGCTGGGGTCTGGAGATCTTCATGAGGGTGGGTCTTGGGGTGGTTTGGGGTTGATTTAGGCGAAGCGAAGGGCTGACATCCAGGCTGCTGTTGGGCGGGTTTAGTGACTTTGAGTGGGTTTGGGGTGGCTTGGAGCTGATTTGTGTTAGGTGTGCTGCTGGTTTAGCAGCGGCTTTAGAGTTGCTTTAGGGTGTGGTTAATAGAGTTCTGGTCTAGTTTTGGGTTGGGGAGCGTTGCCCAAACCACCAAAACTAGACCAGAACTCTATTAACCACACCCTAAAGCAACTCTAAAGCCGCTGCTAAACCAGCAGCACACCTAACACAAATCAGCTCCAAGCCACCCCAAACCCACTCAAAGTCACTAAACCCGCCCAACAGCAGCCTGGATGTCAGCCCTTCGCTTCGCCTAAATCAACCCCACCCTCATGAAGATCTAAGCCAGGCAAAACCCCCCTAACTTAAACCAGACCCCAGCAACTCCCAACTGCCCAACTGCCACCCCATCAGAGCCAATAGCAACCCCAGGTCCAAGTGATGTTAGCGATGCCGGGGATGCGGCCAGCCAGCCAGCCAGCCAGCCAGCCAGCCAGCCAGCCAGCCAGCCAGCCAGCCAGCCAGCTCAACCAGCCAGCCAGCTCAACCAACCAACCAACCAACCAACCAACCAACCAACCAACCAACCAACCAACCAACCAACCAACCAACCAACCAACCAACCAACCAACCAACCAACCAACCAACCAACCAACCAACCAACCAACCAACCAACCAACCAACCAACCAACCAACCAACCAACCAACCAACCAACCAACCAACCAACCAACCAACCAACCAACCAACCAACCAACCAACCAGGGTTAGTAAAAAAAAGACACTTCCACCTCAAAGGAAGCCCATAAGGAGCACCACCCTGTTCGGGGGTCCAACCATTGAAGAAAAGGACAGACCCATTTAGAGACAAAGAGCTTTTCTTTATATGCCTATACACAAACACACATATATATATACATATATGTATACATGGACATATATGTCCATACCTCTGTATAATATGTATACATATATATATATATATATATATTCAGAAGCACATCTCTCACAGACCCGGGCCGAGTCCTTCTCCCTGCGAGTTGGCGCCAGGCGCTGCTGGGTGTGCTGCAGAAGTTGGACCCCGACATCGCCTCCGCGGAGGCCATGGCGGAGGCCCGCCGCTTTTTCGAAACGCGCCGCGCGCGGTTTGGGGGGGGCACGGAGGGGAGTTCCTTCGAGGCACAGGAATCGGCGTGTGTTTGGTTTTTGGACGGAAAACGCGGAAACACGGTGGTTTGTGGTCGTTTTTTCATCAAAGCCGCGGTTTTTTGGGAGAAAGCTGGGGTCGCTGGATTTCCCCCAAGTCGGAAGTTGATGGATTTGCGGGTTTCCATTGAAACGATCGCCACTGCAGGGAGGTTCCGAAAAGGGATAAGGCTCTGCAAGCCTGTGGGCTTAGTTGCAACCACAGCGAACGACGTTTTGACCTTTAGTTTCCCCTTTCTGGTCCATTTTTATTCATGGCCCCAAAAGGCAAACCTGTTATTTCTGGGTGCCTAAGGGGCAACTGAGTGGGTCGTGTTGGATGCGCCGAACAAAAAACCCAACACAGGTCTGTCTCAAAATGAAGGGACCGGACCCGCTTTTGGAGTGAGGCCCCCGATTTTTGAGAAATACCCGCATCTATTTCTAAATCGAATGCCCGCTGCTGTCTTTTTACCCGGTTTTGGCCACACACTTCCCCAGTTTGCGTTTGGTGGGGGGCCACAACCGCTGTTTGGGTTCCAAAATCGGGTACGGTATTGGTCTGCCCAGGTAAAGCAAAAAGTCTGTGTTTTTTTCTGACCAATCCACTCAAGAAGCAAGGAGACTATTTTCAAACTGAAATCAGAGTGCACACACTGCGGGTGGGGAATATACGAATAAGGTCCTTTGCAGGTTGGAACTTTCTTGCACAAAAAGGGGGTGTAACCCAATCAAGGGGCAAAGAGCCAGGTCCTTTTTAACTTGGTTCTCTATGGGGTCGAAATCAACAGGATGTGAATTTCAATGGTTGTCACCAACTGCCAAGAAGTCATCTGGCTGTGGGTCAAGTCATCTGGCTGTGGGTCAAAACCCTGTACCCCCAGTGAACATGGCAATCCCCTCTAAAATGAAATAGGTTCTACAATGGGTGGTGCACCTACCCCAAAATAGTACCATTGGTTTTGACCCATGGCCATCTTTATGTTGAGGCAGGCGGTTGGTGGACGATCCCCACCTCCAGCACTCCGGATGCCGTTCGCAGCCAGTCCGGCAGACCTGCCCAGGCCTTGGTCCAGGACGCGAACGGCGGGCAGATCAAAGAGGCCTTTGGGCTCGGTCGAAGCCTTTCTCACATCAATCGGCCCACGTCCCAAACTGGGGGGGGGAGGTCCTTTTTTAAGGCTCGGAACCTTTCGGGGTGTAAGTTTAGCTGAAAATTGAGGGTAGTCCCAGATTTCCTGTTAGCGTGGAGCTCCTTACCATTCGCGAGCTCCTTGCATACTGGTTCTCAGAATTCAGGTCCCGCAATGGCACCGGTTTTCTTTTGGCTCCCCTTTCAACACCAACCAAAAGTGGGGTTGTTCCGAATCCCATTTTGAGATCAACCCGATCTCGACATTGGGGTTGTAACAGACCTCAAATGGACTTTCCCGGAGTACCACGCTCGTGGAAAATTGCGGTCGGCCCTTCTGTGATGCCAATCTCCTCACAAAGTCATGGGAATCATCCACTTTGGCATAAGTCTGCCTATTCAGTAGCGAGCTGGTTTGGGGGTATAACCAGCTCACCATGAAAGAGGTCCTTTACTTAAGGATCCTTTATTCTAGTGAAACTTGCAGATAAGCACCCCCAAACATCAGGACCCCAGGCAACTGGCCCCTTTTCAGTTTCCCCAAGCCAAAAAGGGGCTCTATCACAGTCCGCAGGGTTTGTTTCTCTTCAACTTGGGACTTTGGGGCCAGTTGACCCGGAGAAGCGGTGCTCCGGACCTCCAGTTCTGGCAGATGGCGAGGGTGCCACATGGGTTCTACAAACTGGGGAACCTGCCCAACATCTCTGTTTTCGTCCCTTTGGTTCAAGGGCGGCCCCAATGGCCATTGTGTCGGCCAATGACCAGTTTATCAGAAGCCAATGGCTACAAATTCCGCCGCGTCCTTAAATCATATCCCCCCCCCCTCAAAGGCCCCCTTAAACCCAAAAAACCGCCGCGGCGTCCTGAAATCCTCCCACGACCTTCGCAGGGGCCCCCACACCCCCGGGGCTCGGGTAGGCGGACGCGCGGGCGCGGCTCGGCGCCATCGAGGCGGTGGCGCAGAAGACGCCCCTTTGGCGCCCACAGCGACCGTTGGGGTCCGTTGGGTCTGTTGGGTCCGTTCGGGTGCTGGGAAGGAACCAAAACAGGGGGCTCAAGAGGAGATTCCACCAAAAACAGCAAAAAAATGGAGAATCTTCAAAGGGGTGATTGTTTTTGTTGGGCCCGCTGGTGCGGTAGGGAAGGAGAAATGAACCCCGGGTTTCCCCGAAAGGAAGCCAGTGGGATGGTTCTTCTATTCATGAAAATAATCAGGGGTTCAATTCGCCAAACGACCAATCCAAACCACCGATAAGCGGTAAGCGGTTGCCTGACAGATGGGACGGAAGCAGCCCCGCCAAACCAAAAGAGCACCATGTGTAGAGGAAACCGAACCCCGAAAACAAATGCCACGGTTGGCTTTGCGACTTTTTGGGGAATACCCTCCCCTTTTGGGCGCGTTCCGTTCAGTTGGGGAGCAACGACATTCCAAGAGTCCCCATCGAGCTGTGGGCGACAGATTGGGCCCCAGGTTTTGAAGGGAAACCCCATTCGATTTGGAAGACCCACAGTTGGCTGCTTCCTCGTCTCCCTTTTTGGATGGGGTTTCCCTTCAAATTCAACCCACAAGGAATGCCCCTTTTTCTTTGAGCACCCCATGGCCAGGTTTGGGGTGAACAATTCAGACTTGTGGCATCCCAAGTCCCATTCGAATGATTTAGCGGGCCTCGACAGCCTTGGGGCCAAGCCAACGTGAGTGTCCCTTGGCGTGATGTTGAAGGGGGAACTGTATGGGGACTCTGTAGAAGTGAGTGCCAGAATAGACTGTAAGAGCCCAAATGATTAGACACATCATTCCCCCCATCATGAGGTGAGTTGGCTTTGTACTCAACATGTTTCTAATTGCAGTTGGTGACAGCAAATGCCAGCATTCAATTTTGGGTTGAGTCGTTCTCTGTACTTACCAAAGCGGATTTGTGCAGATAAACTGTATACAGCTCATTTACTGCAGAGGGAAATAAGGGCACCGGTAAATGAAAACGCTGTCATCTACAAAAGGTCAAGCAAACGACATAGGGTACCACTAGGAAATGCCAGTGCAACCTCTTTGCAGGGGGTACAATAAGCATTGACCGTGGCCATAAAATGGTCGGGATGAATTTGGACAGATTGAGACAGTTGCATGGACAACTGAACAATTCAGATGTTGGAGGAGACTCAAAACATACCTAGAACTCCCAGGAGTGGACCGAAACAACAGACATGTCAGTCGTTTCCATCAAACATCACATTTCCCTTGAAAAAGGCACCTTCGGGGCGCGCCACAAAACATCAGGGTTCGGCACAGAGCGCCTTTGTATCGAGGAGGCACGCCGTTGTATCGGGGAAAAACGTCTCCGCTGGTTTGTTGCGTACAGCCAAAATGACAAGATTCTGGCAAATCGCCTAAAGGCCAACATCTGATGCAATGTGAAACCAACCTGTTTGGACCATCCCTTGACCTAGCTGAACCGGACTTCCCTACTTCCACCCACAAAACCCTGCGAAAAACCAATGAGGCCCCCAAAAATCACCCTGTAGAACACCACTTCGGCACTTTGCGGCCTTCGACAAATGGCCATGGGTCAAAGCCAATGGTACCATTTTTGGGTGGGTGAATTCACCACCCATTTTAGTCTATTTTAGTGGGGATTGGCATGTTCACTGGGGGTACGATTTAGGTTTTGACCCGAGAGAAAGCCTCCCCGAGCCGAGGCACAGCGCCATCGCCGGCGCGCAGCTGCAGGCCCAGGGCCTCAGCGCTAAGTTCTTAGAGGACGGCTCGCCAACGCGCGGCGGGGGGGGGGGGGTGGCTTCTATTTTGTGCTAGACACGCACATAAAGCTGTGTTTCCCGTCCTGTGCGTTTTAGGGATTGGGGCTATTTGATATTTCAACATTACAAAAGGTCAATCCTAGCTCTAGAAAAACAGTTCTTTGTTTAGACCATTTTTTTTAGACATCTTTAGTTAAGTTTGACAACGCTAGCAGAGCGGAAAGCTGAAGTGTAGCCCATAAGACGGCCAACGCTTGGCAGCGTTTTTGGAAGATGTTGTTCAACCATGTGGCTTTAGACAAGTATGCAGCTGGCCAACTGACACACGGAAAACTGGAGCATTGTAGTGATGGAAAGACTGAATCACAAACAAACTAGCACCGTGATAGCCCCTCTGCCGTGCACAGGTGCTTTGCAACTCCATCATGTTGTGTCGGGCTGTTTAATAGGATTGTCCCAAGCCGATAAAACCTCATGAAGCCCCAGGGGCTAGGTGCAACTTTGATTGGGTTTTCAGTAGAAATCGAAAGCAACACCTTGAACACATAGTATTTTGAGAACCAGGTTGCAGGGAACCGACCTTTTTGAGGTTTTGCGCTGCACTGGCAGTTGGGGAGGTTCGCTTGTCCATGGTTGCTAATACCTACCATCAGCCCAAAGAACCTTGACGAGCATCATCCCAAGCACGTGCCAAAAGTTGAAACCTTGCAAATAGAAGGTAACTCACGCCCTGAACTCGAAAAAGAACCTAGTTTCAAACCTGTTTGGTGTCTAGGCCTGAGGACGTTCTTGATAGGCGGCCCGCCTGTTCGAGTAGCACTGAAAGCAGCAGCGTGTACGTTTGTCAGAGGAGGGGTGCCCCGAGGCGGTTCTGAAGGGTGCCAGAACCACACCGTGAATTCAGATTTGATTTCCCCCCGTTTAGGACAGGCTCCGTCCTCGATTCCAAGATTCAAAATCAAACACGTTTTTTTGGGTTGCTCTTCAACAGGGCCTGTATGCTCATTTCTTTGGACTTCATTTTTGCCTCACGGGCAAAAACATGGGAAATCAGCTTCCCCCCAATTGGTGGTTCGGATTGGTGGCAACCCCTGGTGTTTGCACGGGGCAACTGAGAAACTACTTCCTAAGCTCCAAAACCCAATCCAAAACTGTTTTTTGCACGAGGTTACTTCAATTCACCATCCCCATCCAGTTGAGGCAGAATACCAAGCCAAACCACCAAACCGCCAAACCACCAAACCGCCAAACAAACCACAAAACCACCAGGCACCAAACCACCAGTGAGAGGCAAGCTAAACGGTCTGGCACTTCAGGACAAAGAGGTGGCTGAGCTCATGGCTCCGGAATTGGCGGCGGGGGACCTCAAAACACGGGTTCGCATCAGACCCAAGAGGTGCGACCCAATGTTCTAGGGGTTGAATCGTTTTTTTCAAAAACCAGCCATTTCCCCAGGGTTTTTGGTGGTTTTCTAGAAACATTCGGATCCCTGGAAAGAATGGGGAGGTTAGCCCTAGCAATTTGTCCAGCCTCCTTTTGGGAAGCTTCCCTGTCCCTTTTTGACTCCCTTTTGGTGTCCGGTTTCGATTGGTGTCCCCTTGTCACGCAAACCTTGGCCCAAACGCAGGTGCGCCAAAAGCAAGATTGTTGCATGGGCTGGTCTGGTCTCACATCCTCTAAGTGAGTTTGTTAGTTGGTTTCTCAACATGGCATCGGTTTGTCCTTTGGGTTTATTTGTAAAGCCAAAGGCTTCCCCAACCCAGAAAAGCACGCCCAAGTTTTTGTTTGATACCCCTTGTTTGGGTTGTTTTCGCTGGAGACCAAAGGGAAAACCCACCCATTTTGGGGTTCCTTGTACTTTTTTAGACCAACCAACATCCTTTTCCCACGGCTTGAAATTTGTTTATCGCCTGAGTGACAATCAAAGCCCGCCCAGTGGCCTTTGGACGCTACGTACACTACAAGAACTTCAATCAGATCTTGCTGAGCTCTACCTTCCTCGAGAAATATGCGATCCAACAGATCTTGGCGAGTTACTACAAGTGACGAATCAAAAGTTGGCAGGTGCGGAGACCAGCTCAGTTTTTTTTTGGTAAAGCCCCGGACCTCCAGTGGTCATGGGACAAAGAGCGCACACTTTCCTGGTCGAGTTTTGATCCAAAAGCTGAAGCTGGCTACCACTTTCGGGCAGACTTGAAAGAACACCCAGGCCCAGAAAAACCAAAGGGCGTCAACCAAACAGAAACCAAAGAGAAACCAAAGAGAAACCAAAGATCAGCCAAAGACAAGCCAAAGGGAAGCCGAAGCCGAAGGCAACCCGAACGGCTTATCTCTATTTTCGGTGCCCCCGAGCGGAGGCCTTGAAGACGAAGACGGAGTCGCAGGACTTGGCACTGCGGAAGGCCGAACTCCTGCGGGATTTGGCGTTCGAATCGGAGCATTTGGAGGTTTCCAGATCCTTGCTCATCCAGATCTTGAGCACCTTTTCCAGAGTTTCCGACGGACATAGTGACATGACAGTCTCAAACCAGAGACCCCCCCCCCAAACTTCAAACAACTTGGTGGGTGTCCTTTTGATTTCCCATGAAGGGTGCCTCGAGAAGCAAAAAATCCCCCGCGCAACGGAGACCGCCCCATCCCCGAAGAACGCGCGCGCGCTTCGGCGCAAGCGCCAGGCGCTGGCCTCCGGGGCGCAGGCGCGGCAGCTGGCGCTGAACCGCGCCTTCGCGGCGCCCGGGGCCCCGAAAGGACTCGGCGAAAAGCGTCGGGGAGCGGCCGGGAGCGGCCGGAGGCTTTGGGATGCGAAGGCGCAAATTGGGATGTGGCGCTGAGATCTCTTGAGATCTCAGGTTTTTGATGAGCATGGGGATGGCTCGAGGAATTTGCCAACTCGGTCTGCCAGAATCAAATGCTAGAGATTTTGACTGGGGGCCAAGGTTCGGACGAAGCACCTTTCAAGCTTGGTCAAAAGTTGTTTGGGGTTTGGGGTGGAAACAGTTTTAGCTTAGTTGGCGGTTTAGCAGGCTTGGATCGCGAAAACCCCTGACACCTTCCCGGGTTCCGGCAGAGGAGGTCATCGATTCCGCAGTCCGTCAAAGCCATTCTTGGCTGCGACGTGGACAACATCTTGGCGGGCTTGGTCTCTTCTCGGGCCAGGCTTGTGTCTCTCGATGGACTGCCTTGCACGGCTTGGCGCTGGACGGTGACTACGCTCCTTTCAAGACATTTGCACTCCACCCGGGCAGGCCATTGCCATGGGTCAGGCCGACTGGTATCGTTGCCCTGCGCAGGTAGACTGCTGAGTTTCTAGAACGAAGATGCTTCCAGACCCGACTATTATAAACTCGGCCAGAACTCAGCCGCTTTTTCAAGGGGGCCGGCGCAGATGGATGCCTATTGATCTGCGAATTTCGCCGACTCATGTTCTCACTTGCCGAAGTCGACCGTGTGAACTTTCAGTTTCCGTCCTTTGGCCAAGGATGGGCTAAGTTGTCAAGCTTTGAACTGTTTGTTTGTATGTTCATCGGTTTCCCTTGGCGGGTCAACTCCGAAGGTCGGCTAATTGGCAGCATGTTGAGCCTTTGATTTGAAATCCTCGGATATTGTCTTGGAAGGTCCTTGTGTTGTACGCGTGTCAACAGGGGGCTGTGCATGCATCGGGTTTCGGCCTTTCTCACCCATTTGTTCAACCCGCCCAGGAGCTCAGGGACAGAGAAAGAGGTCACTTGCCCTCAATACAACCTGCAACCCGCTGACCCTTAAATCTCGAAATCCTTGCTCATTAGGCTGACGAAAATGTCATGTTGAGAGCCATCAAGGGCCGACAGACTGAAGCATCTGCATTTGATGCGAAGTGGACGCTGTCCATAAGAGCATCCGTTTCCCTCCAATTGGTGGTTTGGATTGGTGGCTTGGAGAGTTGGAGGTCTGGTTCTTGCAGAGGGTAGATGGGAAACCACGTCCCAACCACCAAACCGCCAAACCAAATCGCCAATTGGAGGGAAGCTGACTATTAAAAAACTCATGGGCGCTTGAGAATCGGCATGTCCAGGTACGAGAACCTGCGGATGGAGGTCGCAGCGAAGTTGCGAGCACGGGCCCGCAGAGAGGGAGGAAAGAAGAGGTTTGCAAATGCAGAGGTTGTGAGGTCTGGGGTAAAATGAGCTCGCCCTTGGTGAAGGTCCTCTTTTTTCCGGGACTCCTGACATCAGCTTGGTAAATCAATTAATTCCAGTGTAGTTGGTTGATATGCATATATATATATACATATATACATGGATGGCTTGTGGAGCTGTGCAGCTGGGGAAAAAAAACACAAATGCAGACCCGGCTCTGCTTCTGGTGTCGAATCTGGGAAACGTGGAAGCTTCAAGTTCGAGCCCGCCATGGACACTTAGACGCAATTTCACCCATACAACAACTGATTCCCTAAAGCGGGTGGTTCTACATAGACTTGAATCGGATCCTAAGATCAATCAATCAGTGGTTGGTGAATAGCTGGGTGTCCCATGGGGATCCTTCACGTGAGAAGCACACGGAACACGCCGCCAATCCGCCCGATGTACCAATCCGGGGTCAACATGCTTCGCTGGGTCCAAATTCCTGAGCTCAGATCCGCTTGACGGGCTATGTCGCAGTTCTTGACCGGCACCCTCCTACGTCCCTTTCCACTGCCCACGCAAAAAGCTAGGCTTTTCCATGGCCGTCTTTGGTTTTTCCTTGTGCTGTTTTCCCCCTTCTTCTTGTTTTTCTGCTGATTTCTCCTGTTGGTTTTTCATTTCGGTTTTTCACCGGCCCCCCACAGCGCCTGTTCGAAAAGGGCCTTTAAAATCACGAACCCAAAATGCCGAGCTCCGAAGGGCCTGTAGGTGTCCGACTGAAAGGCCGGCCCAAGAGCTTGGGGTTAGGGCCCGTGGATTCAGAGCTCCGCTTTTGGTTTTGACCATGGGGTCTTCTGAACCTCCGAGAATCCGAGAAAATCCCAGGTCTGCATCGAGACCCAGGGCGGCAAGGCGCGGGATTGGACAGCCCCAAAAAGGCCTGGGCGACCTACGGGTGTGCCTTCTGCCGCGGTTTTTTACCAGAACATGAGCAGGTGTTTGTTAACTCGGCTCTGAACATCTCAGAATGAAACCGGGAATGAGAGGCTTCTGCCACGCAAAGACTCTCCCAAGAGCGTGACACGGACGTGCCATAGGGCGTCCCCAATTTTAACATCCACAGAGACTGACGGCTCTGAGCTTGATCCCTTCTAGGTCAGTGAAGCACAATTGCAACCCTCCGACCAACAAATATTGTTGAGTGAGCCCTCGCCTTTCGAAGTTGTCAAGAGGCTGAAACCAGCAACACTCAGTGGTCCGCCTGCTAACCACAACACCAGTTGAGTTCGGGAAGCGAGTGATGAGGCCAGGGGTTGCTGGATTTTCCCCTCTTGGTTTACACATATTTTGGATTTTTCTCAAAATAGGATACCAGAAACATGGGTTGTGGTTTCTGTTTGAAGCCACCCAAAGAGGTCCATCATGTTGGAAACCCCCTGATTAACTTTTGGTCTCAAGAGTTGCTTGATGTTTCTCTTGGTGCTTCAAGGAGGCATGCGGTGACATGCAGGGAACCAGGTGCGACCGGAGGGACCCAAAGTTGAGCGTTTGCACTGAGCGTGTCAACCAATAACTAGAAGTGGGCCTGACTATTGCTAGCTCTGTCTGTTTCATGTCATAGGATCCTTTCAAGTGGTGTTTTCGGATAGCATCAACACGGGATCCTTTCAAGTCCAAGGCTTGGAATGTCGGGCTTTGCAGAGAACAAAACATACATGCATGCACATACAAATGAACAAATTGATAGGCAAATCAAAGCACAAACAACCAAGCAAACAAGATAAGCAGAGTGACACTATATAATGAGGGGAATTGATGTCTTTTCTCTTAACAATTCATTTTCCAGGATTCCCTTGACAGGCAGTACAACACCGAAACGGGTTTTTCAAAGCTTGTCAGGCTCCGCTTAGTGACTGGCACGGCATGTTGCAATTCGAGGGGAGGACACTTGCAATGGAATAATGCGGCATGTGCCACCCTCCCAAAGTATGGGATCCATGTCCAAATATACTGGTAGAAGCAACACCTTGCAAGGTTGTAGGAGGGCAACAAAAAACAAACCTTTCCAAGCTACAAAGCCCCGTCTCCCATCGGCTTCCTTTGCTCCCTGACCGTTTTGGAGAGTTTTAACGGCCCTACCTGCAACCACGGGTCCGCCAGCCGGACGACCTCTACGACGCCATCAAGGCCTCCAGTGGCACCAAGGTGACCAAGCGCCACATCAAGGCCTACCTACAGGCCAACCAGCGACTTGGAAAACGTTGGCTGCGGGACTGCGGAGCTTTTTGGGCCTTTCTGCTTGTCGCCGCTTTCTTCTGTCTTGTGTGTTGTCCTCTGTTTTTTTGTTTGTTCTTTGTTGTCGGTTTTTTGTGTTGTCCTGCTTCTTCCTGTTGCCGTTTCCTTATTGGTTGGTTGTTCTGTTGGCTCCGGTTGGCTGGTTGGCTGATTGGTTGGTTTGTTGGCCTTCTTTCCGGGGAATCCCAGGTCTCTCATCGAAGACGAGAAGCTGGACAGCGTCTTTCTGGGCCCGTCTCTGTCAGAGAAGGCCCCACATTGGCGCCAGGGGCGGGGTCACAGTTAGCCCTTCGGTGGTTTCATTGGTGGGGGGATTTGAACTGCAGGGTAAATGGGAAACTGCCCCTAACCAACCACCAATCCAAACGACCAATTAGAGGGAAGCTGTAGCTGTGTGTGCCATAAATGAAGCGTTGTGCCATGGATCCGTTTACAAGAACATGGCAAACAAAAGCGCCACGTCCCCGGCCGCCCCGTTCCTGGTCTCTTCCCCACCCGAGGGAAGCATTCGGCGATTCGGCGAGGCGGAGGATGAGAACGACGAGCCGGAAATCAGCCGAAGCCTCGCTGAGTTGCTTTGTCCCGTGGAGCCGGGCTGGCCTGGGAGTCTCATTTTTTTTATTTGTTTTTTCTTGGGTGGGGGGTGGGACCCCATTTTCAGCATGGCTCAAAGGCAAAGCCAAAGGGAAAGCGTTGCCATTTCGATGTTCCCTATTTTGAGACAAACCCTCATAAGATTTGCTCCGTGATACCAAGACAATCCTCTTTAACAAGAGGGTTATGCGAGGGGGGGAAGGTCATCAACATCCAGACTCTGTCGGGGACAAAGGCCGGTGTGGAACCTGAATCGTAGCTCCCCAATTGCTTGACGGCGCGTTGCGGGCCTTTGCCATGCAAACCCGAAGGAGACCAGCCGGGAGTCCTTTTTTGATGGTTGGGTTGCTCCTAGGACCACCAAGCCTCAATTTGTCAATGGGCACAAGCAGCAAGCAGCAAGGAATGTGTATTCGAGAAGTGTCGCCTATACCCATAATAGCCAGGTCAAAACCACATGCTCACGGGGTATCGGAGACATGCCTTGAGCTAGGCAGAGAAGACTTCATGCGCGTGGTCAGAGTCTTCTACAAGGCCAGCGACCGGCCCGCTCGAAAGAGCCATGCGCGGATTCCTACCCCCCTCGTGGGTTCAGGTGTTTTTAGTTTCTTGTTTTTCTTTGGGAGGGGGGCTGAAAAAGTGACCCCCTCGGTGTGCAATCGGCGTTTGTCTTGTGTACACCTCTGGAATTTCTCAAGAATAGGGTCGCCAAACCCCATCAGATCTGGGCAGGGGGATGGTCATCGAACTTCACTATTTAGCAAGTTGCTGAGGTTAGAGTTTTCTGTTTGGGTGTGAAAGCCTCGAGCATCGGTCGGCGAGTCTGTGAGTGCTAGGTGGTCACAGAGATTGTGCTCTCTGACAACCTGCTCATCGAGCAGAGCGAGCAGCTGCGACGGATGGAGGTGGGGGAGATCATGGAGGTCTTTCAAGGCCTGCTCGCCGGGTTTTTCTTTCTTTTCACTGGGCCCAGTGGGTGTTCCTCAGAAAAGGAGTCGGTCCCCTAAACCGGCAACGGTTCCCTTGTGGTTTGCCTTTAAATACCAACCCAAAGGGCGTCCGAATCCCATTTTGAAAAGAACTTGAGGTGGGCTCTGAGCCGGTCCTTTGCCTCTGGGCTGAGATGGGCTGAGATGGGGTGGGAACCCCTCAAACCACCATGTGGCCCTTTCAACGCCGGAGTGTGGTTGAAGGGGATCCTTCAATCCTGATATGAAGACCGAATAATCAGAGGTCCCGAACGTAGCGAATTCTAATGATAAACGGGTTCTAGCTTGCACCAAGGACCTTCATGTGTGTAGCATCTGAAAGGAACCCATTTTTTGGACCCCATTCAACGGGTCACCCACGGAAGGCCCCACTTCCCCCCCCCCCCCGGCCCCCGGAAAACAAGAAGAAAGAACACAAGTCAAATGATGGGTTTTGGGCACTCGATGACGCCCTTGTTCCTCGCGCCGCTTTTTTTTGCTGAGAGTGTGAGGCCCCATGCTGGACCCGTCAGTGGGGGTGTATCGCATCCACGGCAAAGCGCTCAAAGACGGCATCGTCGGCTGGGTCACCGTCGCCGGCAATCAAGGGACCGCCGGATTCGGGCGGATGCTTCGGGCGGGCCAGTGGGTGGGCTCCCTAGTAAGCATGTGTCGAAGAAAGCCCGCAAAATGGGTGGTTTTCGGTTTCCTCTGGGTAACCAACCCCAAGGGTCGCCTCACAAAACGCCCCAGATCGGACCACCCCGAGAAATGAAGCCCTATCCCGGCGGGGTGCAGGGGCTGGGAGTTTGGGGCTCTCTCGGGACCCCGGGACCCGGGACCCGGCCGGAAACTCAGGTCCCGGTGTTGGCGTGTGGTTCTTTTCTGAGCCAATTCGGCGAAGGCCAGAATTGCTTGGGCCCAGGCCCCACTGACTTTAACTGAGGCTTTTACTTCATGGAGAACGTGGCTCTTTTTCAACATCCCAAGAGTAGCTGAACGGGTCACCCGTCCGTTGATTTTTTCTTTGGTTCTTTGATCTTCTGGGCCTCAACCAGCAAATCCGGCGGTAATGAAGCAAGGGCTCTGAAGAGCTCGACGGCGAAAGCCCTGCAAGCTGTCCTTCGTGGGATTTGCGCGCGCGAAATGAGTCATGGTCTCTGAATCTTGAGACGTCCTCGCAAGCATAGCATAGATGTCCCGTTGGTAAATGGATGGCACTGCTTCACTTTGCTTCTCCAGACTCGCGGATTTTTAACTAAGTGGGACATCCCATGCAAAGGGCTAATTCATCACATGCATCATCCTCTGGGATTGTCGACCCCCCGGCAATTGTCGAGTTGATTCCGTGTTCCGGACGTTCGCCCGATTCGAAGTGGGCGGATGCGTGCCAGGATCACCTTCCTCATGCCTGGGGGCAACCTGCTGAAGGCATGCAAAACGAGAGCGGCCCAGGCAAACCAAGGATCAAGGCCATGCTTTTGGGCTCCTTTATCGAGAATGACGCATAGTTCTGGTGGAAACACATAGCGACCTGTTTTAAGGGTTTCAGTTTGTGAGCAAATCACCGATGATGGTTTATAACGATCACATTTTTGATTGGCACAGTATATTTGACCCAGATAGCTGTGGCAGGAGACTTCCCTTTCAAGTGATGAAGGGGTCATAGTGGTGAAATAGCACATGGCAGCACTTGGTTATGTTCCGCTATGCCATGGAAGCCGAACATGGCCGGGTTTGGGCTTCGGATGTCAACCGCCCGCAAAGTCAAGACTATAAATAAATCTATGAATGAACTGATTCATCAACCTATCAATGACCTTTCAATCAGTCTTCGTCATGAACCTCCGAATCGAGCTACAATGCATTAACCTATCAATCAACTTTTATTAGTCAACCGATGAATGAACCTATTCATCGACCTACTAAACAACCTATTGATCCGAACACGTATCAATCAACCATATGTTTGTGCAAAACACAGTTTAGGGGGGGGGGGGGGTTAGGGGCAAATTCAGTGATACCAAGGCTACCCCATTGGAAGTGACAAAGTAGTCATAGGGATGGCCGTCTCGGTATCACCGAAAGACAGCTATTTCCCATAGCTATGTCAACCGGACATTTTCTGGGACATTCATTCAGCAAGTGAGGCAGCGAGGAATTGAGCGAACCTATCACTGGGCTGTAAAACCCATGAATTTAATGAACCTACTGCAGATGAGGTAGGTGGCGTATCCCAGTATTCATGAGATTTCATCCGTCCCCACTGCCGAGTGGTTTCTGTTCATCCCACGGCATCAACCAACTCGTCAGCCGCGGCTAGGTGGTGCGACCAGTGCAGCTCACCGAGATGGAGGACGTGGAAACCGCCGGGCGGCTGCTGGTGGAGGGGGAAGTGCTTGAGGCGCGGCTTTTTTTTGTGTTTTGGTGGGGGGGGGGGGGGAAGGAGATTATGTTATGTGGTTTGGAGCCCTGTGAACCATTTATGTAGTTTGCAAGCACATTTTGCCGATTAAAATACCTATGACTCTAATTGCGTCATAATGAAGCTACAACTGACCCCATTTGAATATTTCAAGTAGTTTAAGTAATTTGAATAAGTCTTTCATTTGAAGAATTCAAGCCATTTAAGTTGGCAGACCTCCCTTTTCCAAATTAAACACTCTAAATCTTAACAGCAAGCTACGACTGCCCCCCATTTAAATAATTTAGATCATTTGAATTGGCAGACCCCCTTTTCCAGTTTGAATAATTTGCATCCTTTAGATTATGAAAATTGGCAGGCCCCCCTTTTTCAAAAGTTGATAATTTGAATATGTTAAATCATTTAAAACATTTGAGTTAGTTCAATTGGCAGACCCGAGACCCCAAAATGGCGGGTCTTCTTTTTGGTTCGCCCTCTGTTTGCACCAAGAGAAAGGAGGGTGGATACATTTGCTCGCCTGCTCAGGCTCCATGTAAATAGGACTTCTTGAGATATGTCCCTTTGCAAAGGCCCACTTCCTGTCAAAAGGAATGAACATTGGCTGCAACAACCAGCCGCCCTTACGGAAACTAGAAGGACTTTGTTTCGCCAGCTTTCTTTTTTAACAAATGTTTGAAGAAAACAACTAAAACAAACAAAGACTTGTGGATTAACCCATTTCAAAAGAGTTTGGTTTGAACCTCGGTGTGAAACGAGTGGTTCAACGAGTGGTTGGCAGGTGATCGCCTGGCAAAGGATCAGGGAGCAGACGCCGCAAGCTGCGCCTTGGAAAGAGACGTGGGGCGCACGTCGCGTTTCCGGGGGCAGCGGGTGGGAAATCGGAGCTTGGGAGTGATGTTTGGGAACATATATATATATATATATATATATACATTACATATATACACATATGTTTGTACACGCAATTGGTTTGAACCACCAGATGCTGATCTGCCAAGTTTGTACATCCAACATGGGTGTTCGCTGGTGTCCCTTCAACCTGAAAAGGATGCACTCCACAAGCGCACCTGGGGCCGTGTTCCCGTCTCTGGTGAATTCGGGGACACGGGGGACTCTGTTCGTACGGGAACAGCGTATGGTGACCAGGACTCATTTTTGTGGTTCCTTGGAGTGGGGTTTCCATCCTTCTTGATGCTTTTGAAAGGACAAAACCCGCAACTTTGCGGGTTCCCGTTCTGGTTTTCCAAGGCAAATCGACGCACATTCTGGGTGGCTTCCTCGTATCCACTTGGAGACAACCTCCTATCTCGTTTTTTGAGGGCGTGCTTGCCCGCGGTTCATGCACACCCCAGATCAATAAGGTTAACCCCCCAGGTCTGCCCACTTCAAGAAACATCCATGTCCATGTCCATCCATATCCCAGAAGCATTTGAGCAGCATCCAAGGTTTCCTACTGCGCCATGGGAACGTAGCCCTAAGACAATGTGATGCAACCTGCTTGTCCATAGGTTGGGATGTGATTTGTTCACTGCCTGCCAAGCTAACCCAACTTGGGTGGTGCTTCACACCCGAAAGGGTGAACTGTGAACACCGTTGGCATTGACAAGTTAAAGAGGTTGCAGGGCGAATGATCTACTTTGGAGGAACCGCTCCAACACATTTGGTCATGCAGAAGTCAACCGAAGTGGACATTCCGTGTGCGTGTGTTGCAAGATGGGGCAAGGATTATGTGGAAGTAGATGCTACAAAGTTCAAAGCTGGTGGATATGTGGGTGCTCAGTAGCGTGATTTGGGCGTGCATTGCCAAGCAGCTGTCAACCTCACATGAATCACCAGGTGGCTGGGCAATTGTTTGACTGATTTTGCCACCCTATTTCACACCCGGATGTCAGCGTGGGCCACCAGGCATTTGTCCTTAGGTGGCCGAATGGAAAGGGGTGTCGAGCAGATGTCATGTCGCCGGTCAAAGTTTGCAGTCTATACTCCGACTCATGTGAGAAGGATGTAGGGCCTCCCCACAAGACCAGGCAACGCGCCCGAACTCCCCATGTCCTCTTGGGGGAACACACCATTTTCACCATGGCTCCGGCTTTTTGGGGGGCCTCGTTTGTTTTTCAGAACCTCCCCCATCCCGTATTGCGACAATGCTTGTTTCAGGCCAGGAGAACGTCGGACAGGTTGGGTCAATTTCTGAGGTCACCCGAGTGAAGGGGAGATTGCAGGGAGAGATGGTCACAGGCGCGGACGCGGCACAAACCGACGCGGGTCTCGGGGCGGGGTCTCGGGACCTGGGGTCGGGTGGGACCTGGGGGCATCTGGGGACCTGGAGCGGCTTGTGACTTCTGACTGGAGCACAGACGGGCTGCTTTGCTGCTTTTCTGGTTGGTGAGTGCGTGATTCTTTTTCTCCCAATTCCACTGTGGCGTCTCCACTTCCAGGATCGCCGGCGGTTTCGGTGGTGTCAGGCTCGCATTTGGAAACCGGCCGAAGCTGAAATCCCTAAAGTTTGCCAGCATCCTATCGGTATTCCGAATTAAAGTCAGCTTCGGATGATTCTGGACTCCCAAAAGCAAATTCAATTCTCAATAAATTGGGAATGGGTCAAAATTAAACCACCAGAGGAGCGCTGGCTTTAATCCTTCGCTCCATTTACCAGGGTTCTATTTTGGGTCCCCATTTGGGACCCACAGCCAAATGAGGCACCAACCCCTGATGGCTATGGTGTGGATGAATCCGATGACATTGCTTGGCCAGGCGCGGCACCAGACATCAGAAAGGGAAGCGTGTCCTTGTCCGTGGCCTTTCAGTGTCCTCCTGGTGCTCTGTCCTTTTGGCGTCCTTCTGGTTTCCCTTATTTTATTTTTTTTCCAGTTGTTTTCTTTTTCTGGTGTCCTTTTGGCGTCCTTCTGGTCTCCTGGTTTCTGCACCAGGTGAATGGCACCCCGCGCTCCTATCCCCATGGCCAGGCTGGGTCTCCATGTCCGAGAACGGCGTGCCAAACCTGGAGGCTGACAGAGGGGTTTTAGCTTTGGGCCACTTGCTCAAAACCCGGGGATTGAAGGTTAGTAAGGGACAATGACACCTCTGAGACTCGGAATCGTGATGTCGCAATTCAGAGGTCCTTTGGGATCTTCAGAGATCGCGTGGATTGAAGGAGAAGCAGTAGGCCACTACCCAAGAGAAAGGCTCTGCTAGAACCCTTCCAAGAGCCTTTAGGAAGGCTCTAAGAGCCTTTTGAGGGGCGAGGGCCCTAGCCGGGCTCAGGGTTTCCACTTTCTTGACTGCCCCAAGGTAGATGTGAGCGTTTTTTTTTTATATTGCTTTCGGGGAAGTTTACTTGACATCGCGAGTCAGCCTTTTTCACCCATGAAGGTTTTCCCACGGACAATCATTTAGAGGCCCCAAAAGGATCCACTAACATTGCACCTGGGAGGCTCCTGGAAGATCACCCCCTGTCAGCTGCCATGTTAGGAAAGGGTAAGCTGTTGTTTTCAGCGGGCAAGCTGAAGGGAAAGCAGCCGTGAACCCTGATTGCCAGGTGCTGTGAAGGAGCCGGCCGAAGGATCGTTCGCGAGCGTCTCTCGCGAGAGGCCGAGGGGTTGGCCACGTGAAGATTTGACCCTGGAGGATTACATATGAGCCTTTCTCAAAAGGGAAACCTCCAGGAGGTTGGTTTTCTTTTGGTGTGCCTGTAAAACCACCGAAATGCTTTGTCATTTTTAGCGCAGCCTCTCTGGTTTTGAGATGGCCAAAAGCCAAGCCTGGAGCCGTCCGGCGTATGGCAGTGTGTGCCAAGCGCCAGAAGCCCACGTCAAAAGAGCCCACGCTTTACCGGCGTCCGGCTTCCGACTGCGAAATCGTGCAGGGAGTTTAGGCCTCGCTTGGGGCTGTATCAGCTTAGAAAAACCAGAGCGCGAGTGTGCCGTGATGTTGACCCGAGGAGTGAACCTCTGGTTGCCTAACAGAGGGTGTCCTATTCTTGAGGGGAACCCTTTTTTAGGGGAAACTCCTAATAATCCGCCAGGTTGACCAATGCTGGGTCAGCATTGCTTGCATTCATCCGGCGTGCGGCAGGTTTTCGCTTGCTCGACCTGGGGCCCCAGCCTTTTAAAAAGGGACCATACTTGAGTTGGCAAACTTCACTGTTTGCTGGCGAATTTTATTCACGAGAAATCTGACTCGCAGAGCATCGGACTGGTGCGCGCGCACGCGCGTTCGTTTTTGATCCAAAGATATTGCACGGAAGCCAAAGACCACTAAGACTTGGTCAACATATGCCAGGGTGATTTGGTGGCACAACTCCCTGGGTAAGTAAATGTAAAGGGGCCGACACGTGACCAAAATGCAGTTGGATTTGTGCCATCCACCGCTGGGATAACAAACACTTTTCACCTGGCGCCTTGGGATTTTGGGCGGGTCCAAGCTACGAGCGTCCGGCCGCGATTTGGCGAGTCGCTGCCGCGACCTCCGAGGCTGCGATGCTGGCCCCGCTGTTGGACCAGCTGAGCCCCAAGGTGTACGTGGCGCCGGGCAGCCCAGGGATCGGAGCGCCACCAGCCCCGTTTTTGGGCCCGTACACCGGGAGGCAACGAGGTCAAAGGACAGGCTAGCCTACTCTTTCCCTTGGTGGTGGAATTAAGTGGCCGATTTGGGGTGAGTTTCCTTTTCTGATTTTCATGGGAACCTTGTGGTTTTTGATATTCCAAGGGGTGGTTGAAGGCAAAGCCTTTTGTTTGTTCATTCCAATGCGGCATACGTTAGTCGAAGGTATACTCATAAATCCTGGGGTAGATTAAATCTTAGACTCAGACTAGACTTAGGTAATTGAGTTGTGTATTCCAAGGTAGACTTAAACCCAGAGTTGGTTCCTAAAGGGATCGGAGCCCCACGTTGCTCTTCACATTCACCTGGATCCCGGACAGGCCCAAACGCGGCTTCCTCTAAACTGTTGTCTTTCAGGTACCATGTAAGCAGGGGAGTAAGTCTTAGGGAGTACTCAAGCAGATTGCCGGGCTTCGACTTCACCGACAAAGAAAATATAGGAACCCCGAATTCCACTGTTTGGGCTCCAAATCCCTTTGTCAGCACGCGCCAATGTGGAAATTAGACCGCCATGGGACCACGGGTTTAATCCATGCTTCCACTTACCAGGGTTTCCATTTCGGGTACATTTTTTAACCCACTGCCATGTAGATATGTCAACATGCATATGACCTCCCCACCATGTCAGGTTCTGGCGCCAATGTTCCTACACCTCCGCGGAGATCTACCAGGCCAGTCCTTTCAGCTCGTTCTCGGTCATTCTCTGGGAGGAGTCAGCTGGTTTCGAACAAGTAGAGCTAACGCAAGCCCAAAGGTGGTGGTTTAACCCTGTTTTCTAGGGGTTGATTCCCCATTCTTTTAGAACATCGCTCTTTTAAAAAACCGGCTGTTTCCCTGGGTTTTAGTCTGGTTTCCTGAAAAGAAGAATCCCTGGAAAGAATGGAAATGGAAGGTACCCCTAGATGTTTCAGCAGGGGTTGGCCCGACCCTCAGTCCTGTGTATGGCTGTCCCTTGTTTCACTCAGATCTTTGGTGAATGACTCCAGGCGAGCTGATTGACTTCCTTACTTGGCTGTCCGCAGGCCGACTGCGTGTTGAAACAACTCTAAAAGGCCATTTGGAGTCGTTCCAAAAGTTTGACATGGTCGTGCTTCCCTGTTCAGTCGGAAGTTCTGATGTTTTTCAACAGCAAAAGAAAACTGCTCGACTGGAAACTCACTCAGGTGGCCCAGGCCAGGTATTTGGTTTTTGCAGCATTTGGCTGTGGCTCAAAAAAGTGGTACCAAAATGGCACCTGGCAAATGGAACCAAAGACTAAAACCCGCGGTTTGCCCCAGCTCTTTAATTTTGAGCCATACCCATTTGTGGCTTTCCTCCTCTGCACCTCTGCCTCTTCCGGTCCCGGCCCGTCAACTGTCAAGCTTGGCAGCCATGGAGGAGCATTCCCAAACACCAGCCCTGGGCGAGCAATGTCTCCAAGTCTGCAGCGAGGTGTGTTTCAGTTGCTTGTTTGAGTTTTCCAAAAATCCCGACTCTTGCCCACCCAGTAGCGAGAAGCAACCACTTCGTTTGCTACATGGGAGAGCCATCCACTGAGCCAATTCCTTCTGGGTCTTGAACCAGCAATGGGCGAAGCTTTGGAAGCCACTCTTGGACTTTCTTTTCATGGGACACCACTTCTCGTTTCGTTTTGCAGAGCAACTTTGGACATGCCGCAGACATGGATCTCTTTACCAGGAGCTTTTCGAGCTCAAGGCCAAGGGGAAGACGCGCGGGGCCCAGAGTGGTGGGATATGTTTTTTTCTCGGCCAACCTATTTTGGGTGGGTTGAAAGGGACACCAAAAGGAAAGCCACATGTTTTTGTGTTTGGGGGGGGTTCCCCCTACTCTGAGCATAAAGACTGTGGATGGACAAGTATTGATGAGACCTATCGATCAGCCTGTTTCGCAACCTATTCATCCAATCACCTGGATGGACAAAATCCAGTTCGCACCAGTCTTTTTAGGTCCTTTTATCTTATGTCACAGGGTTTCATCTATCCCTGGAGGATTTTGTCCAACAGTAGCTGTCCACTCTCGTTTTGGGGACAGCGGGACCCAAACAGTTTCCCCAAACAATTCCAGGGCTCAGAGGGATTTGTCGTTTGAGGGAAGCCCCATCTCCCAGAATATAGTAAGATAACCTTTAATTGGTGGTTTGGAGTAGATTGGTCGTTTGCTCTCTGTAAACTTACCCACTTCTTTTAATTCTTGTTTGTTTTGAGAAGCACGGGTTTGTAAGAACAGGGCCCTACAAGAGGCAAAAAGGACAGACTGGCAGGACCATAAAGTACATGTGTTGAATGACATCCGTCCAATGCTTGACATTCGTCCGAAGCCAAGCTCGATGGCATGTCCTGTTGAGCATCCTTTTGACTTATCATTGAACCAGCCTGAATCGCAAGATTGCAAAAGTCTAGGGGTACCTTCCCCATTCCGGGTCCTTCTTTTCAGGAAACCGTGAAAATCCCAGGGGAAACAACGAGTTTGAAAAAAGCAATAATTGAAAAAGAATGGGGGATCAACCCCTAGAAAAAGGCAATCCTTGGGATACCTCCGGGAACTTCTGGGGTCTCCGGCTGGCCGCAGCAGAGAGACGCCGCGTTCACTTCGATTTGCAGAGCGGTTGGTTCTGACAAAGTGGGGTGGGGGGGCGGGGGGTGGGGAATTGCAATTGTTAGTTCAGGCGTCCAAAGAGCAGAGTCGCAGGGCGCGCAAAATCTTTTTGCCCAACGATGACCAACCCCGGGGACAAGAATCGTTTCTTCCGCGGTTTCTGGGCCAACTCGTGGGTGTGTCGGGCCTCGGACATGGTGTTGCCTCCCTCCTCCGAGCCCAGGAATCCAGAAGACGCATTTGGCATGATATGAATTGAGCTAAGAGAACAGAAGATATGGAGAATTGGACATGGGAGGAATGTGTTAAAATGGGGACGAACGGAGATATCAGACTATGAAGATGGACAGAATACCGTTCGGGGAAAAAAGGCACCATCTAAAGTTCGGCCCAAACACATACTGGTACTCTATGGTCCATGTGGGAGCTGATTGACTATTTTCCTACAAAATGGGGAGGGGGGGACACGAATTTTCCCGTGTTAGTAATTTTCACCCTGGCTGTCTTTTTCACAGACACGAACCCAAATGGATGGGTTCCAAGGGGTTTGCAGGGTTCCAGCTTGCGCCAAAGCATTACCAAGTGCGCAGCATTAAACAATAATATTGTTAGAACCAATTCACGAAACTCTGAAAGAGGATGAAGATGGGTGTGCACAGTTGTGGGACGTGTGGTTTTAGGTTTCTGCCTCCTGCGATAGAAAGGGTGGAGGCTTCTCTTGTAGGTGACAAACTTGTCCTCGACGTAGACCAGTTTGAAGGATGAAGATGGGTGTGCGCGGTGGTGGGATGTCTGGTTCCTGTGGTTCCATTGATTTATCAGCCATCTTTTTTGCCAAAACGACACTTGGGCCAAAGACACTTCTGAAGCCGGAGTTGCCTGGGCTTTCCGTTGCGTCCAAGGCCAGGGATCCATACTCTTGAGGAGGAGGCGGCCGGGCTGTTCCAACCGGCGGAATGATGCCGTGCGACAGAATGCTGAAAGAATCCCAGGCCTCCGGTGCTTCCAATTTGTTCTCTGTTCTTGGACTGTTCAAAATCAGCTACCAAAAACGGAGTCAGCCACCAAAAACGGGTGCCCCATTTTTTTCCGGAGGTGGGAATGAATCAACAACTTGAGTGCTCCCTGGGCCAGCAACATGGGAGTGTTGGGCATTCACACATGAGCGCAGAGAAATGATCTAGACCTCAGTGGCAAAGCAAAGTACTCATCGCCAGTCGTTGTTTCCATCCGTTTTTGGTCTTTCCCACGCTTTTGGTGGCAAGTTCAAGACGGCCTGTTGATCCAGAGAACAATCCCAGAAGAGGTCCCATGGAGCATCCTGGAGCCCAATCATGGTTCCATGAATTGGTGGTTTGGATTGGGTGTGTGTTGACTCAGAGGCTCCACTTACTTTATTGGTTCTCAGGGAATCAACCGGGTTTTTGGGAGTGCACCAGATCCTGCGGGCAGCAATTTACGGGGATGGCGGTTTTCCGATTCCCTGAGAACCAAAGCAACAGCCTCAGGGGTTGGACTCGGCCAGGAAGCTGTAGACGTTCGCAAGGCGGCCAGGCGCCCTCGGTGTTGTCTGCTGTGGAAAGGCGCAAAGTGCGCAAGTCGGATTCCTCCAGCTGTGTCGTGTTCTCTGTCAAAACGCATGTTGACAAAGGGCAACCCCATTTGATCAGTTGGTCGGTTTGAACCCCTGTACCACCAATGTGGGGGAAGTTGGTGTTCTGCTTGGGGTCTAGAGGACAATTTAAACAACCAATGAAAGGTTCTACAGACCAGCCGAGCATGCCGGCAGACAGGGACAGACAGAGAGAGAGAGAGAGAGAGAGAGCGAGACAGCGAGAGAGAGAGAGAGAGAGAGATAGGCAGAGACGCAGAGACGCAGAGACACATAGACAGACACGCATAATATATATATATATATGTATAAATACATATTGACAGGGACAGGTTAATTAAGACAGCCGAGACAGACACAGAAGCAACCATCGAACTGCAATATATATATATATAGATATGTACTGTATATATATTCATATTTTGTACATACACTTGAGTAGCAGCGAGAGCGTGAAACATGCGTTTCGGCGCAGCGCAATGCTCCCTGTTGTTTTTTGTGTGTTCTCAAGTGTGCGTTCGGCAGTGTACCAAAGATCATGTCTGAGGGCTCCCCCAAGGCTTCAGGAAGCACGGGGGCAGCTGATCGCAACCCAAGGAAGCCCGACTCAGACCCATCCAGTTCCCAAGGAAGCCAGTCCGCAAGGGCTCCGCATCCGCGGAATGGTTGCAGGTGCAATGAGCTGGCCCGGAGTGCCATCAAATACTACGGGATCTTTCTGGACAGTTACCAGCCTGTCAGGGCCTTACACTGTATTCGCGTTTCCTTGCGCCGAAGAAACTGTCTGCTGTTGGAGGTGTTTATTTCTATTTTCCCAGCGTGAAGTGTGAATCATTGGGTTCTCTGGCAGGAGAGACCACGACTGTGGCCCTGCGAAAGGGGCGAATTTCCCCGGACTTTCCATTTGGCCCGCTCGGGACTTCCGCATCCAAAATCTCCACCTGGCGAAAAGGGCGTCTTTTGAGAGGGTGCCCCCTTTAAGGCCCTTTTCTGACTGTTTTAAAGGAAGCCAAGGGGACAACATCCATTTTGGAATGACGGGGATGCTGTGAGTAGACTATACTTTAGAGCCTCCGGCTCAGTCCGCCGACATTGTCCTCTCCCTTTTCTCCTTCTTCCTCTCTTCCTTGTCTCCCTTGTGTGTTCTGTCGTCCTCTCTCCCTCCCTCTGCTCCCATCCTCCCCATCCCCCCAAGCCTCTCTCTCCCCACTCTCCCTCTCTCGTATGTATGCATGCATGTACATATGTATGTATGTATGTATGTATGTATGTATGTATGTATGTATGTATGTATGTATGTATGTATGTATGTATGTATGTATGTATGTATGTATGTATGTATGTATGTATGTATGTAATGTAATGTAATGTAATGTAATGTAATGTAATGTAATGTAATGTAATGTAATGTAATGTAATGTAATGTAATGTAATGTAATGTAATGTAATGTAATGTAATGTAATGTAATGTAATGTAATGTAATGTAATGTATGTATGTATGTATGTAATGTATGTATGTATGTATGTATGTATGTATGTATGTATGTATGTATGTATGTATGTATGTATGTATGTATGTATGTATGTATGTATGTATGTATGTATGTATGTATGTATGTATGTATGTATGTATGTATGTATGTATGTATGTATGTATGTATGTAATGTATGTATGTATGTATGTATGTATGTATGTATGTATGTATGTATGTATGTATGTATGTATGTATGTATGTATGTATGTATGTATGTATGTAATGTATGTATGTATGTATGTATGTATGTATGTATGTATGTATGTATGTATGTATGTATGTATGTATGTATGTATGTATGTATGTATGTATGTATGTATGTATGTATGTATGTATGTATGTATGTATGTATGTATGTATGTATGTATGTATGTATGTATGTATGTATGTATGTATGTATGTATGTATGTGTATGTATGTATGTATGTATGTATGTATGTATGTATGTATGTATGTATGTATGTATGTATGTATGTATGTATGTATGTATGTATGTATGTATGTATGTATGTATGTATGTATGTATGTATGTATGTATGTATGTATGTATGTATGTATGTATGTATGTATGTATGTAATGTAATGTAATGTAATGTAATGTAATGTAATGTAATGTAATGTAATGTAATGTAATGTATGTATGTAATGTATGTATGTAATGTAATGTATGTATGTATGTATGTATGTATGTATGTATGTATGTATGTATGTATGTATGTATGTATGTATGTATGTATGTATGTATGTATGTATGTATGTATGTATGTATGTATGTATGTATGTATGTATGTATGTATGTATGTATGTATGTATGTATGTATGTATGTATGTATGTATGTATGTATGTATGTATGTATGTATGTATGTATGTATGTATGTATGTATGTATGTATGTATGTATGTATGTGTATGTATGTATGTATGTATGTAATGTAATGTAATGTAATGTAATGTAATGTAATGTAATGTAATGTATGTATGTATGTATGTATGTATGTATGTATGTATGTATGTATGTATGTATGTATGTATGTATGTATGTATGTATGTATGTATGTATGTATGTATGTATGTATGTATGTATGTATGTATGTATGTATGTATGTATGTATGTATGTATGTATGTATGTATGTGTATGTATGTATGTATGTATGTATGTATGTATGTATGTATGTATGTATGTATGTATGTATGTATGTATGTATGTATGTATGTATGTATGTATGTATGTATGTATGTATGTATGTATGTATGTATGTATGTATGTATGTATGTATGTATGTATGTATGTATGTATGTATGTATGTATGTATGTATGTATGTATGTATGTATGTATGTAATGTAATGTATGTATGTATGTATGTATGTATGTATGTATGTATGTATGTATGTATGTATGTATGTATGTATGTATGTATGTATGTATGTATGTATGTATGTATGTATGTATGTATGTATGTATGTATGTATGTATGTATGTATGTATGTATGTATGTATGTATGTATGTATGTATGTATGTATGTATGTATGTATGTATGTATGTATGTATGTATGTATGTATGTATGTATGTATGTATGTATGTATGTATGTATGTATGTATGTATGTATGTATGTATGTATGTATGTATGTATGTATGTATGTATGTATGTAATGTATGTATGTATGTATGTATGTATGTATGTATGTATGTATGTATGTATGTATGTATGTATGTATGTATGTATGTATGTATGTATGTATGTATGTATGTATGTATGTATGTATGTATGTATGTATGTATGTATGTATGTATGTATGTATGTATGTATGTATGTATGTATGTATGTATGTATGTATGTATGTATGTATGTATGTATGTATGTATGTATGTATGTATGTATGTATGTATGTATGTATGTATGTATGTATGTATGTATGTATGTATGTATGTATGTATGTATGTATGTAATGTATGTATGTATGTATGTATGTATGTATGTATGTATGTATGTATGTATGTAATGTAATGTAATGTAATGTAATGTAATGTAATGTAATGTAATGTATGTATGTATGTATGTATGTATGTATGTATGTATGTATGTATGTATGTATGTATGTATGTATGTATGTAATGTATGTAATGTATGTAATGTATGTATGTATGTATGTATGTATGTATGTATGTATGTATGTATGTAATGTATGTATGTATGTATGTATGTATGTATGTATGTATGTATGTATGTATGTATGTATGTATGTATGTATGTATGTATGTATGTATGTATGTATGTATGTATGTATGTATGTATGTATGTATGTATGTATGTATGTATGTATGTATGTATGTATGTATGTATGTATGTATGTATGTATGTATGTATGTATGTATGTAGGTATGCATGTATGTAATGTATGTATGTATGTATGTATGTGATGTATGCATGTATGTAATGCATGTGTGTATGTATGTATGTAATGTATGTGTGTATGTATGTATGTATGTATGTATGTATGTATGTATGTATGTATGTATGTATGTATGTATGTAATGTAATGTGTATGTATGTATGTATGTATGTATGTATGTATGTATGTATGTATGTATGTATGTATGTATGTATGTATGTATGTATGTATGTATGTATGTATGTAATTATGTAATGTATGTATGTATGTATGTATGTATGTGTATGTATGTATGTATGTATGTATGTATGTATGTATGTATGTATGTATGTATGTATGTATGTATGTATGTATGTATGTATGTATGTATGTATGTATGTATGTATGTATGTATGTATGTATGTAATGTATGTATGTAATGTATGTATGTATGTATGTATGTATGTATGTATGTATGTATGTATGTATGTATGTATGTATGTATGTGTATGTGTATGTAATGTATGTATGTATGTATGTATGTATGTATGTATGTATGTATGTATGTATGTATGTATGTATGTATGTAGTAAGTAAGTAAGTAAGTAAGTAAGTAAGTAAGTAAGTAAGTAATGTAATGCATGTAATGTATGTACGTATGTATGTATGTGTGCATGCATGCATGCATGCATGCATGCTTACATACATGTATGCATGTATGTATGTATGTAATGTATGTATGTATGTAATGTCATGTAATGTCATGTAATGTAATGTAATGTAATGTACTGTAATGTATGTATGTATGTATGTATCCTTGCACTTCCCCTTTGCTCCCCAGTATTTCCCGCAAAAAAAACACGGTTTTTCCAGCGTTTTCGCAAAGAGGACGTCCAAAAACATTGAGTTTTTCCAGATTTTCGGCAAAAGGATGCAGGAAGCCCAAGCCAGCAAAAAAGCCGGCAGGGGGAATCGAGCCTGGGACCCCTGTTTTGCGACACCGGCTCCCCGAAGACTACGTTTAGTGGAACGTCATCAAATTGCCGCGCGGTACGTGGGGGACCCCCCCCCCCCCCCAAAAACCTACGTAATAGATGTCGGGCGGGGGGGGGTTAGGGGGGGGGTTATCCTCTATCCTCTAGTAAGTATCCGACACGCCGAGCAATGTCGGCGGATAATACACCTATATCTTAGCTCAACATGATTGAAGTTGCTGTTGTCCGTCTTTTTTTTTGCTATTGTCCTTTCTACATTGAAATAAATCACACTTTCTTTCTGTAGTAACTTCCGCTCAATTTCTAGTTAAACTTCAAACACTATTTTAGAAATGACTCCCCATCGAAGCCGTAGTTTAGGATAGGAGTTCTGATTGAATTGTTTCCAGGTGAATTGTCATTTCCATCCGAATCCATATTGCATCAAACTCCTTTGGACACGAGCTCCTTTTTCCAAGAAATGCAAACATAAATCGGGAAGTTCTTTGCATACCCCATAAAGAGCAAACAGCGCTGGCAGCTAGGAAGGGCAAGTCGAACATGGAACAAAACAACAAGACAGAGAAATCGGTGAAGCGGCAGAATCACAATCTAGCAGGGCAAATTCTTGGCACATCCCATCATCTCTAACTAGCAGATTGTTGTTTTGTTGATATCATGTTTGATTTCTCGTGTGTGTTTTCCCTGGTTTCAGACTTGTAAGTGACTAAGATCCAAACGTTTCCTTTGTCACATGTTTTTTCTCGATGGTTTGTTCGGTTTCAGGCTTGGAAGTGGGTAAGAAGCATTTCCTGTGTCAGATGGTTTTTCCCAGTCTGTTTGTTCGGTTTGAATCTGAGAAGGTCTGGAGTCAAAGGAAGTGAGGAGGCACAAGTGGTTGGGGCCAACCCACTCTGGACATCCCTTTCTGATATGAACCAATGGAACAATCTTGGGGGATTGGTGAATTCACCACCCATTTTAGGCTTCCTATTTTAGTGGTTGGATTGGGATGTTCACTGGGACGATTTGGGTTTTGACCCATGGCCATATTGTACTGCAAGGAGATTCGCTTTTGCAGCTTCAGGACGGCAGAGTTGCGGAGAAGGTGGAGAAGGAGCACGCATCTACGTGCGGGAGGGAAGTTGCTGCACCGCCTGTTGCTGGATCGGTCCCTGAAAGTGGTTGCGTACAGTTGTGTTCCTGAAACGCTGTTGGGTGGTTTTCCATTGAATTGCCATTCAGAGGGCAATTTTGAGGATGCCACTTCAATGGAGCCAATGTCTGATTCAAACAAGCACACACTTACTGGCAAAGCGAGTTGAATACCATGCGATGCATCCTGCCAGTTGACTGCTGGCTGGGTCCCTTAGTCTCGCTGAGCAACTTCACGCGAAGACCACCTTACAAAGTGCCACTTACTGTGATTCCCCCGAGAACCCCCTTTGAAAAAGACATCATGAGAATGGCCCACTTTGGGTATCAAAGAGAATAATATTTTCTACGGCTGTGGGTTGAGCACATTTGGTTTGAAGAGCCAGAGGCTTAAACCCGAAGCATCCCCAACGGTTAGCTTAAGCCTTAGACCTTCTTTGGCCCACGTTTCACTAGCGGTGCCAGGTACCTGAATGCCAAGCTCAACCGGGCCCGGCTTCGGATGAAGATGTTGGGCCCGGGCGCTCGACTGACTCGACTGGACCCACGAATGGGTGTGTCTAATAAGTTGGTTTCCCTTGGTTTCCCCTCCAAACTATAGCAAAGAAGGATTGCCAAAGAAGGATTGCCCAAACAGCCGCAATTCACATTCCCGTGAAGATTTTGATCCGCACTTGATAGTCTAAGATTGTATAGGCGTGTCTCCAAATGGGGGTCCGTTTTGGAGAACTATCAGACATCACAAGGGACAACAACCATTTGGATGGTTCTTTACTGTAACACTATCAAGCATGATCACAGGAGCAACACGTTAGAGATTGCTTAGCATTTTGAACGACTGCATCAATTGACGATGAGGGAGCCACCATTCCTGATGAAATGACCCTACCGAGGACTTCCCATTGAGGACCGCATCAATGCGTCCGCCCGTCTGCGATTCTGGCTGGCTGCGTTTTGGGAGCTCACGGAACTTACGATTGAACACTGGCGCGGGCACGAACAGCGGACACAGAGGAATAGGGACAGAGACACAAGCAGCGACATCTTTCAGAGAGAAGAGAGAGAAGAGAGAGAGAGAGAGAGAGAGAGAGAGAGAGAGAGAGAGAGAGAGAGAGATTGAGAGATTGAGAGACAGGCGCGCACACACACACACACACAAGGACGGAGGCTGGGGAGTTTCTTCTCCAAACTCCAAGCTTAGAATGAGCTTTGAGGTTCACAGAGTCACTTGGTAAGCCCGGATGGGACCTAGAGACATATGGAGGGCAGAGGCATGCAGGGAAGGCAAAGCTATGGAGGCGTTGACGGGAGGACCATCTCGACGTAAGACGTCTGGTGAAGCTATGTTAAATGTTTGACGAAAATAGTTTCATTGTACCCTCTCCCAGGTTCATTGGACCATTACTGGCACTCTGTTCGCCGTGTTGCCCTAATATCAACTGAGAAGCTAACCTACTCCCCCCAGCTGCGGTAGATCTTGGGCTGTTTGTTTGTCCGCTTGCCAAACCTCCAACTCGCAGCCTTCTTGACTCGCGTATTCCACAAGGTTTGAACCTTACCCCTTTTTTCAGGGGTCGGGCGTTTCTTATTTGGGGGTGGTGTCAAGAATCAGCTCTGCGCACTCGAAGTGAGCTTCCGTTTGGTGGTTGGACATCTCAGGAACCCTGCTTTGCGATGTTTCCAACATGGTTGGGTACGTGTCAGACAAACTCAAAGACCCTTCCCCCCCCCCCCACAAAAAAAACAAAAACAACAAATTATAGCAAAAAAAACCGAGCAACAAACCACGAGCAAATTGTCCTTTGTTTCCCTTTGGACCAGGGTCAAACAGGTGCCCTTGCAAAACAACAGCGAAAGCGGATCTCCCTCGAGAAGGGCAGCTGTTCGCAGGAGCCAATCACGCAAACTTGGCCAGGCACAGACAGGCCCTCGGGGAATACGAGGAGATCCTGGAGTATGGCCAGCGGAACCCTGAGGCAAACGAACCTGGGGGCCCGCTGATGTTTCTCTCCAAATGTGGAGCTCCAGGGTGGTTAGGTTGGCTTCCTTTCTCCGTTCAAGCTGTTCAAACAATCAGTCGCCAATTGTTTGTTGGATAACACCAAGCCGAACACGGTCACGTGTTTTTTTCAGGTGTGACCCCAATGCAGCGCACCCCTGTTTTGGCATCCACTTGTGTTGGTGCCATGACTTGAAAATGTATCGTCAAAGCAGCAGGAAACAGAATCTGCACAATGGCTGTGTCCATTTTGGGGTTACGGCATTCTTGCAGAAAATCAAAGGACTCAACACAAAGCAAACACAACACGAGGAACCACCAATGAGGTTTGGGACATGGGAAATGCTGTCGATGGAGAGTGTTGAAGGGAAGTCACCTGGCAGTGTGAGGCATTCTTTGAACGGCCAGCCCCTCCACTTGCCCAGAGCAGATTGCTTAGAGAACGGAAGCTTATAGTGTTTCCATGCACAAGAGAAGCAGACACACACACACACAAGGTTGTGAAAGCAGTTCGAACATGTTGTCCCTTCTGCCGAGGTCTAAATTGATAACCACAGGAAACTCGCTTTCTTTTTTTTGAGCCCAGAGATTGGCACGGAAGCCCCCCCTTCACCTGCCCGGCAGGTGGCGGAGAACGACGCCTCCATGAGCCTCGAGCTGAAGCTGTGCTCGGAAATGGCCCGGGGCCGAGGTCTGTCTCGGTCCGGGCCTCTGGGACTCTAGGATTTGCAACTCAGCCCAGGTCGCTCCCAAGTCTCAAACCGCTTTTTTTCTTCTTCTTTTTAGAAATCCGGGGGTTTCACCGTACATCAAAAGCAAGCAACAGGTCCGAGAAACCTGTAGGATTCCAGTTTGTGTCGGTTTGGGCCTTGTGCCTTGTGCCCTTGATGCCTCGTTTTGGTCTTCTCTCAAAAACCACCCTTCATGCCAGATGGCCTTTTTTTTTGGCTTCCCACGGATGGATTGGAATTGAGGATCCGCATTTGCCCCAGTCGAGGGATAAACCGAGCTCGAGGCCCCTCATGAAGGTTCTATGGGAGAGGTGTCCAGCAACCAGCCCAATGTCCAGGATGCTTCAATCATCATTCCAATAACCAGGAAGGTTTTCTATCCATCACCCAGCCCAATGAGCCAGGAAGTTGCCCAATGCCCAGGAAAGAGGTTTTAAGACTGTTATACCCCACTCCAGATCCGTTTTCCTCTAAGACAGGCCAGCTTTCGCGGCTTGGATCTGGGTGCCTCGCAAGGCTGCTCTGCTGCCCAGCAAGCTGGCCCGCCTCACCAAGCTGCAGCGAAGCGCATGAGAGAAGCGAGGGAAAAATCGGAGCTTTCGGAGCTTTCGCAGTTGCGTGGCTCGAAGCGCGAGGCTCTCCTTCCCAGTGGTCGATTTTTGTGTGGCACAGTTTGGAGCGGCTTCGGAGGTTTGGCGCTGGCTTGGAGAAG